ACTGTTAGTCCCTGTACTAAAAAGTGTTCTAATTTAATCCTTAAATTCTTTAAATATCTCAAATTTAATCCCTTAGTTAAAATTCTATTAAAATTTAGATAGAAAACAATATCGTAATTTGATACCAAATGATAGGCAATCTTGTAATTCAATGAAGATTTTTGTTTGCATATGAATTTTTTCTTAAGGGAGCTCTATTTCCACCCCGTATATATTCTCCACCCACACATTCAATAAAATTTATTATCAAAAATGACATTTACTAAAGTTGCATTCAAGTACCAAAGGGCGAAAGAAAAATTTCGGATACCTTTTTATAAGAAAAATATCAATGCAGCTTTCACAAAAATCATCTTAAATTTAATTCAAATTAGTTGATAAAAGCCCAAATGTTCTACGTATGTATATATTGATCTTTTGTTCTCTAATAAATTAGGTATATGTTAGATGAGTTTTAGTTCATTTCATTAATTTTAGTTTTTAATTACAGTTTTATTATAGTTAAAGCTCTTACAAAAAGTCACATCTAACTTTTTTGCTACAGTGAAAAGCTTTCACATAAAATCACATCTCAACTCGAATTAAAAACTCAAGTACGTAAACTGAACGAGGCCTTAGTTACTCAAAAAAGTAAAAAGCAAAAAAAAAAAAAAAGAAAGTTTCAGTTTCATATGTATGAATAATTTAAATGTAAGAATTTCTAATAATCCAATTTTAATAATTTAATAATTGAAATAATTATGAGTCTTTTAATCATCTAGTTTTATTAATTATTAATAAATCTAAGTGTATAAATTTCCTTATAAATTAAATTCGATTTTAGTCTCTCTTTCATAGTAAATGGTGGAAAAGGCATTTATCCTTTTATTATATAGCTTAACTATCATTATTCTAACATTTTTCATCTAAATTTTAACATAACTTTAATTTAGGTACTAAATTTGAGACATTTAAAAAATTTAGGGTTTAATTTAGAACACTTTTCATTACGAGGACTAATTATAGAAAGAGAAAAAAGTTTATGGACCTCTCATGAGTTTATTATCTGAACACTTATTGTAATTGTTTTTCATACCCTCCTGTAGGACTCAAATTTGCTATCTAATTTTGGTGTCTTAATTAGTGTCTAACTCATTAAATCATGTCACGTCATGTAAAAAATTTAAATTACTTTTTAATTTATTCTTTTGTGTTTATTATAGAATGATGTGGTATGATTTAATTGGTTAAATGCCAATTAAGATATTAAAAATTAGACAACAAATTTAAATGTGTGTCAGTGGGGCTAATAGCAAGGAAAGTAATCCTATATATGAGCCGTTGCGTGTATTGTATACAAATATAAATGGATTGATTTAATAAATTTAAGGTAGTTGCAAAGAATAATCTGTAATCAAATTAATTTCCAACAATGTCATGATAGAAGTAAAATTTGGATATTCAAAAATGACATCTTATACTACATGTTTAGAGAAGTATATTGATTGGATCTAACTCATGACTTCTCCTTAAAGTCTACATTTATATTCCCTTGATAACATTATGTCATATATTAATTAAAATGTCATAAAAGATGTTTCTATACATATATAAATATACACACACTATCTTAATTGACATGATATGCTTTTTATCTTAGGTAAAATTTTTGTTGACTTTATATAATGTTATTTGAGAACAAAAAAAGAGAACAAGAGATATAAAGCAAGAGAAATTTTATTTCAATAAGTACTATGTAATATCATAATTATTTGTGAGTTTCTCTAATAGGAGTAGAAAAAATAAATTATCGGTAGTTTTTTAATTTTTAATTCTTAAATCTTTATTAGAAACTATTTATTTTGCGTATTTTTTAATTTAATGTGATTTTAATTAGATCCAATTGTAAGAATATGAAATTACCATTAAAGAGGCTTACCAGAAAAAGTCTCTAATTATTTTCATTCAAGTTTATCTGACTAATTAAATAACACTTGTTTCTGCTTCTTTAAGTTTCTTTTGAAAGAAGAAGAAGAAAATCATTCAAAAAAAAAAAAAAAGAAGAACCAGAAAAGGAGAGGAAAAAAAAAAGAAGAAAATTTTGGAATGATGAAGTTGGCGCTGATCTTGTCTCCGATCAGTTGGCATAAGGGATAACATGTTGCCCCAAAAGAAGTACTGCCTAATCAGGTTGTTACGTGTAATAATAATCACATTGACATGCACAAATATTCCAACTTTTATTATCCGCTAATTGACCTTAATTTTTATCTTAATTTTAAGACTCGTTTAGTTCGCTGATTTGAGTTTTTAATTCGAGTTAAGATGTGATTTTATGTGAAATTTTTTTACTGTAGTAAAAAAATAGATAAAACTGTTTCTGAAAATTTTTTACTGTAATAAAACTCGAATTATAAACTTAAAACAGTGTAATAAACATGACCTTAGAATCACTCTCGTTAAAAACCCTTTTGCTTTCTCTCTTTAAAATGTCTCTCTTTTTTAAAAAAAAAAAAAATTGTTTAATTTTCATCTTGTCCCTTTTTGATTGATCATCCTCATTCGCCAGCCTTAAAGTGATAAATTGGTAAAAGGAGCGTCCCTTGATCCTTTCGAAATTAGAGTCCAAAAAAAATAAACCCACTTTAAAATTTAAATCCAAGATTTACTTTTTGCATACAAAGCAATCATATTCAGAGGTAAAGTTGCATGCATGATTCAATTAGGCTTATAAGCTAAAGCCAGCTTTTGTGCACAAAAGTAATAAATCACTAATTTTGTCCTTTTTTTTCTGTATCTTTTTCCGTTTTGATGACATGCTAATCACAAATTTAATTTGTACGTCGGAGGATTGCATAATATATTTTGTTCATATTGATATGGTATCACTGAAATACCATTTCTGTTGTGTTACTCTAGCACCAATCAATTTCATGAATTTTTTTTTTTTTTTTTAAATTCCATGCATCCGGATCCAGATTTTTATTTAATAATACTTTTGGGCCCATATGTACAACATCTTTATTATAAGTTCAAAAGCGTCCATTTTCCTTTCGGAACAAAGAGGAAAAGTATAAAATACACTTCTCAAGATAAACATGAATTTGAAATACATATTAGAGAACTCCTAGACCTTAAGGTAATAAGACCCAATAGATCCTCAGCATTTATAGTTGGAAATCATTAAGAACTATTTAGTGTTAAACCATGCAAACCAATCTGTAGAGTATATATAATCATTATTATTTGCGGCTCTTTTTTTTTTTTTCATAGTAAGTTATTTTTGTTTATTATTAGAACATGGTTTATTTCATTTTGTCCTGGGCTTCTCGTTGGTAGTGATGGTGTATGGTTTAATAGCTCTGTTTGAACATATCTAAATGAGTTAGGAGTTTGTAAGTCGAATGGACGGTCTCTTTTCTCAAGAGAGTTTTCCGCTTGGTGGCTGAGATCTCTTTCCTTACTATCTTTCTCAATAGTCCTTTGGTCTGACGCCTTTTACTGGAGGTTTCTACCAGTGGTGGTCGGAGGTTTTTTTTTCTTTTTGTCACTTTTGTATTTGTAATAAGGTAGGTGGTTTTTCCACCCGATTCTCGTTTGTTTTTTTTTTATTTGTTAGATTTAGGTGTTCGGCTTAATGCCGATAGGGTGGTCTTAGTCTGGTTAGAATTTTTATATGCCATGTAGATGTCTCCTTTCTTAGAGTTTTGACGATCTGCCCCTCCAGTCATCGACAGCTTATGTTGAAGAGATGAGTTTTTCTAGTCGAGCTTTCAGTTCACTCGTTGTTAGTGTGCCGGGGTGTTTTTTTAGTTTCGGACCTCAAGCATGCTTTTGTCCCTCTGATCGATTAGCACTGTACCAAGACGACTATTTATCAGTATTTTAATAAAATGTAACTTTCCTTTCAAAATAAATAATACTATGAAATAAGATGTTAATATGACAAAAAATAAGATGTAAAATGACAATTTTAACCTTCACCATTCATCATATTTTTATTTGTATTAAGGTATTAAATTTGACATTTCTTTTCACTTTTTTTTCTTTTTTATCAAACAACATATGAGAAAATTATTTTACTTTTTTTTACTTTCTTTCTTTTTTTCTATCCATCATACCAAACATAATGAGTGCGTTTGAAATTTGTTCTAAAACGTTTTTAATCTCAGGCAGAAATTATTTTAGAAAATACGTTTGATAATTATATTAAGAGATTATTTTTAGTATAAAAAAACTTATTAATGTCTCTCTCGAGAGAAGAAAACGAAAACAAAAAATGAAAAATGAGCCGTTTGGTTCATGGATTAAAACCATGATATTAGAACCATTTTTAATTTACGTGTATTTTTTATGAGAGAAAATACTGTAGCGAATCAGGAACTATAATTCGAATTAGAGAACGAATCCTCCAACCAAACGGGTTCTAAAAATCATTTTTTATTTTTTTTTTACTTTACACTAAATTAAAAAATTATTTTTTATTTTTTATTTTTATTGCACTAAATATTTTTATTTTTTCTTTCTTAAAAAACCATAAAAGATAAAAACAGTATTAATTTCAAACACGGTTAATAGTTTTACGGAAGTGACTATAAAGACGGTCAAGGAGGAAAAAAAAAGGACGGTCTAAGAATAACCAAACTGGGCCTTTCATTTATCACCTCTTTCTCTACCGTCCTCCTCACGTGCGCCATCGTCATTAGCGAATCCACGTTAAAAAAAAAAATAATAATAATTCACACTTTTAAATTGTCTAATCTAACCAAAATAAATAAAATATTTCTTTGGAGTAAAAATAAATGCAATTTCCATCAGATAAAAGAGGAAAAAAAAAAAAAAAGAGTGGGAGAGAGAAAGAGTAATAAAACGACAAAAGCCAAAACTTGTCAGAGAAATATCTGCCAGCAACAGTTAGTTCAATTATTACCGGAAATAGCCGGTCGTCGTCCGGTTTCTCGAAACCCTATGCTTCTCTCTCTCTCTCTCTCTCTCTATCTTCTCACTCCAGGACTTGACAATCGGAGAGACTACTACACAGAGAGAAAAGAGAAAAAGAGAGAGAAAAGAGATAAAACTCTCTCTTCTTTCCCTTCTCTGTGAGATAGATTTTGTTTTTGTGTGTGTGTGAGAGAGAGAGAGATCAGTGGTAGTGGTTCTGTGTGAGCGAGTGCTGGGAGTGTTTACCATGAGGACGCATGGAGTTATCTTCAGCCTCAGCCAAGATCCCCCATACCCCAATTCTCAGCTCTATCACTTCCCTTCACGTATAGCCTGTTCTTCGCCAGTCTCTGCCATACTTTCATCTCATCACTAGATCACCATCACCATCATCGTCATCATCATCGTAATGATAATATCCTCTCATTTCATTTCACTTTCTCTCTCCTAAATTATCCTTTTCCATTCTATCTCTCGATCTCTCTCTCCTATACTATATATCAACTTCTTCTGTCCTTCTGTGTTTTTTCTTCTTCTTCTGGCTATGGCGGAGGGTTTCGAGCCGTACCACGTTCCGCAGCAGAGCCGAAGAGACAAGCTACGAGTCGTCGCCGCCGCCGCCGAGCATTCGCCGGCGGTTAACCTCCCCGGTTTGATGCTTCCACCTCCTCCGACGCCGTACGATCCCGCTTCTCTGATCATCTCCTCATCGTCGGATTTGCTGACGTCATGCACTCCGACGACGAAAGAAGAAGTCCTGAACAACAACAGCAACAGTAGTAATCTGATGGGTCTGACTTCGTCGTCTTCTAATTTCAGGAGCCCTTACTTGGATCCCCAATTTCACGACATTAACAACAACCCAGGAGCTTTCTTCCATTACTCGTCGCAGGTCGCTCTCCAAAACGACGACGATCAGGTCGTCGTTTTCAAGCCCGAGCCTCTCTCCCTTTCTCTCTCTTCCTCGTCCTACTCTAACAGCAGCGGTAACCACCATCACAACAGCCTTCCCGCGATTTACGGGAGTATTGTTGCCCCAAACGACGGCGTTTCGAGGAGCTCGGTTCCGCTAGGGCCGTTCACAGGCTACGCCTCCATTCTCAAGGGCTCCAGGTTCCTCAAGCCAGCTCAGCAGCTGCTGGAGGAGTTCTGCGACGTCGGCGGCGGCGGCGGCGGCATTTGCTGCGAGAAAATCGCCGCTGCGGACTCGTCCCTCATGGATCCTCAGGTGGAGAGCTTGAGCGCCGACGGATCCTTGATCGTTGATCATGATGACCATGACCATAATCGTCATCAGCTTGGTGGGTCGTCAGATATTGGGGTCGAGATTCGTAAGAAGAAGTCGAGACTAATTTCAATGCTTGATGAGGTATGTTTCCTTCTTTTATTTATTTATTCTGATCTTTTCTCGGTTTAGTTGTTCGATGTTCTAGATCTTTCTTGGAGATGGGTTTTTTTTTACGAAACCCAGGAATTCGTCACTGTAGCACCTGAATATATGCGTGTGTATATATATATATATATATAATATATATGAGTTGTTCAAGTCATCATTTATTATTGTAATTAGTGTTATCTTAGTCATATGTTATAGGCTTAATTCTCAAAGCTGTGCATGAATAAATAGTGGTGTGGTGCAGTGGTGGTACTAAATACGAAATGCCTAATTGGGGTATTTTATTTGTAGCTTCCTCGGCTGAATTTACTTTGTTGCATTTAATGATAAAATAGGGGAGGGAATTGGGAAAATCGTCTTTTTGGAAAAGGTGGATGATACATAGGGGAGGGAATATATGCACTGAAGATATATAGATAGGGAAGTTTATATAAAAAAATAAAAAATAAAAAGTGTGACGAATTATGGAATTAGTTCTATTTGGGTGACTAAAATTTTCTCAGGCGTAGATATGTGCATAAAGTGATGGAGGGGGAATCTGTTTGAAAAGATTTATACTCGGGAAAAAAGTGTGCAAAGAATAATGGCATTCCGAATATATAAAATGAAGAAAATAAAATTAAAATCCCATTTGAGTAGATGAGAAGGTGTCTGGCTCCTTATATGGGATTTGTCTCCGTTGGGATTTTTTCTTCTTCTACTAGCTAGCTGTCTAAAAAGCTTATCAAATGTGACATCTGATATATAGTATTAATTCCTTTTGCATGTTCATATTTAGCAATGGTATCATACGATTTGGACGCTTGGGATGGTATTAGATATGTGATGGATCATTTGGTGAAATGTTTGTGTAGTAAAAATGTATAAGAATAATTCATCTCAACACTGACAATATATAATAAGTTGAATTTTTGCGCCTAAAGCTAATTAATTAACTCGTAATTATGTGTTACGTTTTCGTGGTTAATTTAAACCTCGTCGACTGGTTAGCGTTTGTTCTTCCAAGCCTTAGAGAGGGGACGAAATATAAGGACAAAGAAAATGACAATCACATATAATAAGATAACTTGGGAGGGTTTTGTTCATCTTATTTTGTGTATTAACGTTGCAAACTATGACTTTATAAACATGAGAGGTGAGGCTTGTTGGTTTGCTCCGTATGGACGATTACACTTTGGGTGAATATAAGCACGTGTTTCCTCATGCATGCTTCCATAATATTGTATTCTCCAAGCGTGATAAGATTTCCAAGATATAAAAAGCGAAAAGAATTGCAAATTATGACACTAGCATTTTCTTATATGTCACGCCTAACTTGGGTGTTAGGAACATAAGAAAACAAAATGGCTAATGAGAAAAAGATGAGTGGACTTCTGAAAATTTGTTTATTCTTGTCAATCTTTATTTATTTTGTCAGTTTTTTGCTAGTTTGTTAACGTAAGGCTTTCTGGATCAGCGCTATTGATTAACTGACAATTATACTTGGTGTGGTATATTGGAGTGTGGTGAACAGTAGAAGTGGTTATTGGATATATGAATCATCTTTATACACGCATGCATGTATCTACTAGCAATTTGCGTTTCTGGTTTATTTTTCCATCACCTTATTAGGCTGAATTGATTTAATTATGTCAATAAAGACATATCTAAGGGATTTATGTCACTTAAACGAAACTTAGCCTGCTTTATACTTGAATACAAATTTTTTTGACGGTCCTCATAATATTTGAATAGGCAATCGTATAAAAAAAAGTGAGCTTAATCTCTCCATTACAAGCCCAAAAAAATTGTGTGAAGCCTGATAAGCACATGTCCTAATTGTATCTTTTGGTAGTGCAATGAATTTGATTTTTGTCGTCTAAATTCGCATCTCAAGCAAAGAACTATTACTTGGCTCCCTTAAAAATACGTAACATTCCAAATTTTTAGTGCGTTTCGACTTCTTAGATTCGTGTTTGAAAAGAAGGGGGAGATATCTTAGTTATGGAGGGTGGATTTGCTTAGCCGTTATAAAGCGATCTTATTTAGACAAGGTTTTGGGACTTTCTAGGTATACAGGAGGTACAAGCAATACTATCAGCAGATGCAGGCAGTTGTAACATCCTTTGAATATGTTGCCGGGCTAGGCAATGCTGCTCCTTATGCTAACCTAGCAGTAAAAGCGATGACCAGACATTTTAAGTGCTTGAAGAATGCAATTATGGATCAGCTTCAGTTTACTAATAAGGATAGTGCGCATGCAAGTCATGGAAAAGATGAAGCTCCAATGTTTCGGAATAGCAATAGAGGCCTTTATGGCCAAAGACCAATTCATAGCACGGGATTCCTCGAGCACCAACCAGTTTGGCGACCACAAAGAGGGCTTCCCGAGCGTGCTGTTACCGTTCTTAGAGCCTGGTTATTCGAGCATTTCCTTCACCCGTAAGCAGTTTATTAACTTTGTGTACTAGTGGTCAAGTGAATAAGAATCTTGAAGCATTCACTTGTACATGTTATTATATGTTTGGTACTTTCATTTTTGGTAATTGTTCTTTTGTATGCTTAAACTAGCCTTAGTGTTATTGTGTTTTTGTTGTTTTATCTTACAGATACCCAACTGATACCGACAAATTGATGTTGGCTAAACAAACTGGTCTCTCACGAAGCCAGGTTTGCCCCTTTCTGTGAAACCGCCCGTTTTTTTTTTTCTTTTTTTTTTTTTTTTGAAAACTATATGCTATACTTTTAAAGGATGCAAATATGGTTTGATTATTCGTTTTGAGGGCAATGCTCACACTTTGTTTTCTTCACTTGTGAATCAGGTTTCAAATTGGTTTATCAATGCAAGAGTAAGGCTCTGGAAGCCTATGGTAGAGGAAATACATATGCTGGAAACACGCCAAGCGCAAAAATCTGCGCAGAGAGAGGATCGAAATGCCAACAGATCATCCGATCATATGCAATCAGCAAACTCCCTCGCCTCCGAAAATCCATCAACCTCAACCCACAGGGTCCAAGACACCTCCAAACGTACCAGAAATGAACTTCCTAACATGCCAGTGGGGAGCGAAGAAATGAACTTGTCGTATGAAACCTTGCCGAGCCATCTGCAAGTGGGTGCTGCTGGCATGAGCATGGCGGGTAGTGGTAACGGTGTTTCTCTAACTCTTGGGCTCCACCAAAACAATGGCATCGGATTATCAGAGCCCTTTCCTATAAACGCTGCTCAACGCTTCGGTCTTGGTCTCGAGGGAAACAGCGAGGGGTATAATGTAATGAGTACTTTCGAAGCCCAAAATCGGCACTTTGGAAGGGATGTCATCGGGGGGCAACTCTTACATGATTTTGTGGGTTGAAGATGTAGTTTCTGCAGCTATCTGGTGATGGTTCAATTGAATGTTACACTAACAAAGTTGCACGAGTGGATGGATCTTTTATCAGTAGATTGCCGGAGTTCTCACTAGTTGAAAGCGAGAGTGGTTGAAATGATCTCCTTGTTATGATATAAAAAAGGTAAGTTAATGGTGCCATTGTATATGATCTCTGGAAAAACATGCCAAACAACAGCATATATATGAAACGATTGGTGTTACATTCTTGTGTAAAAATTTTTATGAGAGAAATTGATACCACGTCAAACCGAATGCAATATGGTGTTTGACATGGCTTTTTAGATCTGCTTCCAATGCCAATGAATACCCTTAATTATTTAATGGGGATTGCCATTCTGCTGTATAACTCTCACCATGGCACAAATCTTCCATCTTTTATAGTGTAAAATTGTGGAATACCTTTTTAATCTAGGCTTTTATAGTCTTGATCTTTTATGGCCATCTCTCATCTGTTATCGCTTTAAATCTCAAACCTCTTTTTTCTCTTGGTCTGACAAACTTGGGTCTTCCATTACTATAGGAAGGTATTTTTAGGACCCGATTAGTTCGCTGATTTGAGTTTTTAATTCGAGTTGAGCTGTGATTTTATGTGAGAGCTTTTTACTGCAGTAAAAAAGTTAAATGTGACTATTTCTGAGAGTTTTTTACTGTAATAAAATTTAAATTTTAAACTCGAATCGATGAAATGAATGAGGTTTTAGAATTCTCTTTTTAAATATTTCCCGGATGTTTAGACTTTAAATACTGTGTACTGGCAACAATTATGGAAAAAATAAAGAATTTATCTTTAATAGTACATGAGTCTAGACTTTTATTTCGTACTCTTGATAAATATATTTTTGTTAGTATAATTATTTAATTAAAAAGATTATGAATCAAAAATAAAAAGTAAAATTTTAATTCTTACACTTGGGTATTTATCAAGATTATCATTGACAATATGGTTAGAGTGGTAATTAATGGGCCAAGACGTTAGAATTACTGTTCTTACAGTAAATCCATTCATATAAAGTTAATTTTTGAATCAAAAAGTGGAAAGAAGAATTTACACTTGAGCTTCAATAATTAATGTAGTATATAAGGACAGTTTAAACTAATGTTTAGGTGGAAGCACGCAAGTAATTTCTGGAGAACATGACATGATACGTCGTGAACTTTGGTGACCTTGGGATTTTTTATGCCCTTTCTTTGCTCTTGTTCATGGTCTTCGGAACTCAAAACTTTTAGCTATTTAGCTATTGAACAAAAAATTAATGATGCAACGCAAGAACTTTTGCTTCTTTAAGTAGATGACAGAAGATCCACGTGTTGAAAAAATAGAGTGGAAAAATTGTTGACGACAGAAAATTAAGGTCCCGTTCATTTCGCCTCACCGATTCGAGTTTTATTACAGTAAAAAGCTCTCAGAAACAGTCACATTTAACTTTTTTACTACAGTAAAAAGCTCTCACATAAAATCACATTTCAACTCGAATTAAAAACTCGAATTAGCGAACTAAACGGATTCTAGAGAAAATTATGCGTTCGATGCATAATGAATACTTTTCCTTGGGTATTATTTGCCTCCATTATGAAGTTTGCTGGATGTTTATGGCAAATTAACTTTAAAACTTATCTGTCCCGTTTTTTTCGCTGATTTGAGTTTAGAATTCGAGTTTTATTACAGTAAAAAGCTTTCAGAAACAGTCACATCTAACTTTTTTACTACAGTAAAAAGCTCTCACACAACATCACATCTCAATTTGAATTAAAAACTCAAATTAGCGAACCGAAGGAATAGAAATTATTTGTAGCTCAAAATCCTGTCTTCTCGTAAGAAGGTGAATTGTTACAACAAACAATTTTTAGTTAAAATGCGTTTTTTCATAAAATCTTGCAACTGTTACAACAAATATATTAACAAGCTGTTGGATTGTAAGCGATCAGATCAATGGTTTAAATTAAATCTGAAAAACTACAACAACTAAAAAGAAGCCTTTGCACTCCAAAAGCGTCCAATCACCCGTGCCCAGTAGCAACAAACACTCATTACACAAATTTATTTCCTTATTATACACATTTCCTATAAATAATGGCAGCAATCTCTCAAACACCACGTACAAGCATTATATAATGATTTATACTACGCTGAACAAAACACTTAATCGGTGTATTCATTTGCATAATTCAAGTTATGATTTATTAATAAAAAAATTAAAATTAAATTTATGTATAAAAAAATATTGTAACAATATGACTTACTAATGACTTCAGTCATAAAATGAATAAGGTCGTGAACTTCTATTTGTGTATATATTATCTTCGAATTTAATTTGTTAACTCCATAACTTTTTTTTTTTACCTAGAAATAATATCCTTCTATAATTCTATTGCATATTATTCTAAAAGGTAAAAAAATGAAAAATTTTAATTTGAGGAATCAGAGTACAAAATCGAAAGGAATACAATAAAAGGGAGTAATTGGTACTGATTTACCTTGACATATTCATATACCAGTTTCAACTCAACATTTTTCATCACCTGCTTAGTGCTATCACCATGCAACCTGTTTTGGATAACTACTCTTGGATTTTGATTGGATTCTTTTTCTTGACCCTTTCTTATAGAAGAATATATCCTCTTTCACTTATTTAACTTGTTTTGTTTTGTTTTGGTTTTTATTCTTCCCTTAACTTCAAAAGTAGGCATCAAGTGATCCGAGAAGGGTAAGTACTTGATAACCATCAGTAGCTGTATATAATTCCCGAAAAAGAAATTTTTGAAAAAAGAAAATGTGCAAAAGAAAGGGGTTTATTCTTCAATTATTATGAGTGTCCAAACTCCATATATATATATATATATATATAAGGGGTCAATTTCATTTGTCTCTCTTTTTTCATATTGTAAACCAACACTTGTCACTTAATCAAGGTATATGTCTTGACCATATTTGTGACTTTTTTTTTCTTGTTCCTTTTTATGTGGGCTCCTCAAGTGAGTTCAGAAATTAGCAATAAAAAAGCATTGGTTGGTAGGAAATTTTTGCATGGTGGTGCTTTTCCCGGCTGAGAAAAAAGCTTGAAGCAATGATTGTAGTCCATCTCAGACACACTTTGAATAAAATAATTATGCACCAAACTTAAAAACATTTTTTCTGTTCAATGAGAAAGTAGATGCTCCATATAAAAAAGGACTACTAGAAAAGCTGGCGGGTCCTTTGAGGTTTTTGAGCTTTAATGCAAGTAATGAGAAAAGGGCTTCTTCAGCCAAAAAAAAAAAAAAATTTTTGATGAAAAAGGGTTTCTGTTCATACATCACACTACATGAACAACTTAAAATGCTTTTACTTCCTTCTTTTACTGAAAAAAGAGGGAAGAATGTTTATAGTTTTCTTTTTTCTTTTCAGTAAGAAAGTAGGAGAACTAGTCCAGTTAAGTTTATTCTACGTGGAACCAAAGAAATCTCGGACTTCTTCTTTTTGAGTTAGAGTGATCTGAGTTTAGATTTTAGTTTGAGTTAAGGTGTATTTAAGTATAGTTTAAATTGAGACTCTAATTTGAATTTGTGTTTAGATGTGTATATTTTAAGTAATGGTTTTGAATTGAGAATTTATTTGAGTTTGTGTTTGGATAGGTCAGAACTTGAATTTGTATTTGAATAGTATTGTAATAAAAACTCAATGGTGATGAAAAATTTTAATATGATATATGAGTGTGGTTTTATTCATCTCTTTGTTGTGAATACATAAAATAAAAAATCATCTTAATCGGAATTAAAATGAAAAGTTATAACGTTTTTAAAAATAAAAAAATATTGTTCATTAACTTGAGTTTGCGTTTAGGAACTTGAGTTGAATGAGAAACTTGAACTTAGATTTTAACCCCAAACTCGAGTTCAAACTCAAATTTTACAAAAGAATATGAACTTAAATAAAATTGTAACTTAAATTCAAACTTTTTTTAAGTTTAGGGGCAAATGAACAAGCCTTTGTGGTTGTATATTGATAAACATGGTATATTGACAAACATAATGAATAATAATGCAGATTTTTCTTTAAAAAAAAATTGTATATGTATTCAATAAGAAGAGTCTTTCAATAAATCACACACAACTAGTGGAGGAACATCTTTTAACCATATCACATCTTTTTTAGTCTAAGTTCATGTTTAGCTAAATCATCTACTGCATGCAAAACAACGAGAGAAAAGAGAAAGAAGACGTTTATAACCCATTTAGGAGTGTTTTCAAAATGATTTTATTTATTTTTAGAAAATCATGTTGGGACTATTTATCAAAATGCATTAGTTTGTTTTTCCTGAGAGATTGTTTTGATGAGTATATACATATATACATAAAACTTTTTAACTGTATTTTGTTATGTTTCTAAAACAATGCGTTGAGACCATGAAATAAGGAATAATCTTTAACTAATATATTAAAGAAATAATAAAAAAATAATTAATTTGTAAACAATATTCCGTATATTTGTAATTTGTTTACAAATAATAATTAGTATATTAATAATTAATTGGTAATATTTAGCTAGGTAATGTATTAAAAATAAAGAATCAATAGCTAGTAATTAAAAGTTAGTTGATAATTAAGCAATTAGTAATTAATATTTAATTAGCAGGTATAATAATCACTAATTATTGATAAAATCTTATTAATTAGCAATTCGATGTATTCAATTACTTATTGTTGATTAATAACTCTATTTATTTATTTGTTTACCATTACTATTATTATTTTTATCTTTTAATTGATGTTAGAATTATATTGCTTATAAGTTTACTTTATCATTCATTTCGTACTAATTTTTAACCATTCTTTTAAAACGCTATTCACTATTACTTAATATTTTGTTCCACATAATATCTCCATTAACGTTAACCATAAAACATAGAAAAATCAACATTAACTAAAATTGAGCCTATTAATTAAATGAAAGATCATAATTAATCAGAGTCACGTAACTCGTATAGAAAACAAAAAGAAAAACTCTTACAAACAAAAAACGTAATAATAATAATAATTTAAAAGGTAATCATCAAGTTCAAAAGAAAAATACCCCTAATCAAAGTACTGCACATTACTAAAATCAAACTTTTAGGCAAATTAAAATACTACACATGACAAAAAATGGGGTAGTCACGGATTGGATTCCACATATTAATGGTCAATCTGCAAACTAATCCAAAACTATTGAATTAGAAAAATCTCAAAAAGTACACTCAACTCAATCCAATCTGATACAAAATTATTAGCAGATTTTTTGATTACTCTAGTTAAGTGTCTTGTACGTGGGAACGAAGAAATGCCATGCTTATACATTGAGAAACATGTATATTGAATAATACAGCGAACAAATACTGAAGTTTTGTTTTTGTTTTTGTTTTTTGTTTTTTGTTTTGTTTTTTTAAGGAAAGAGTTGTATCTGTATTAAATAAGAAGAGTTTTTCAACAAGTCGCATGCAATTAGTAGTGAAATATCCTTCAAACATACCAAGCCTTCTTCTAGTCCAAGGACATGCTTGGCTAAATCATCTACTGCCAAGTTTGTAGTCCTCGGAACATGCTTAACGAAACAGCAAAGGCAAAGAGAAAAAAGGCATTTCTATCATGTTTACGAGTGTTTTTATAATGGTTTTGTTTATTTTTAGAGAGAATTGTTGTTGGGACTATTTTTTTAAAATGTGCCGTTTGTTTTTATGAAAAATTATTTTGAATATAAGAAAAAAAAATTAAAACTGTTTAGAGTTATATAGTTCTAAAACTACGTCGAGTACATGAAATAATTAATATATTGAATGATTAATGATTAATCATATATACTTACTGTATTAGTAATTAATTCGTATATTACTAATTAATTTGTATATTTCATTAATTAATATAATAAATAATTAATAACTATGAACTAGTAATTAATCAAAAATAATTAGTAAATAGTAATTAATTAGTAAATAATATCAATTGAGTACTCATTATTGATAAAATATTGATCCAATAGTTCAACATGTCATCGCTAAAACTCCATCAGCACAAAAAAATTCTCGTCATAGGAGCACCATCCGTTACACAATCTAGCGCCAAACATTGTTCATGTCTTTCAACAACGACATAGTTGTCACTAAAACTCTATCAAGACGAAAAAAATCTTGAGCAAATGATGCTTTAACACAACTAGGATTTACCAGTAATTTGGTTAGTGGATTCGTACCTTAATTTGAATTATGGTTCGTAATTCGTTACAATATTTTTTCTCACAAAAATACACGTAAATCGAAAATAATTTTAAATCTATAAATCACACATCAACGACGATACAACACGTGTATGATCACCGTAGAAATCCTACTCACAATTAGTTTAAGGCGCCTTCTATCCCGGGTGAGTTTACATCTTATTGGTAATATGGTATATGTTGACTTTGTGAAAGCATTTCAAACGACAATTTCACAACCACTTAACAACAACAGTAAGTTGATTAAAAAGTTGGGACTCTTAATTCTTAATTCTCAAATAACCAAAATCCATAAACGACTGAATATTATGATTATACAGCGCTAAACCGAGTTTCATCGCATGTTACCCTCTCGCAAAACATCAATCATATTGTACAACCTCTTATCATCTCTTGATTGAACCTGCAAATTTTTAAATGTAAATTTTTGCCATCAGAAAAGAGACTAGTGCCAATGGATATGAAATTTCCTCTCTAATAATTATCAGAATTCAATTGTTATCCTTTCCACTACACAAGTTTCCTATTATAAAAAAATCAGTTAAGCCATTATTTATTGAAAAAAAAAAAGTTATGGGTCATAGAATATATGTCATTTTTCATGTAGAGCAATAAAGCAATACCAAACTGATAACAGAAAAACAACCGAATGTTATGTCGAGCAAAGAAACAAATCTGAAACCAAAGCACGAGAACAGATCAATAACTTAAACAATGAGAAAGAGAAAATGTGCTAGTACCTTCTTGGCAAGAAAAAGCACTGCATCAACGGTCCCCTCGGCATATATTGATCTACCACAAACGTTATGCTGAAACTCGAAAGAAACTCTGCCAAGAAGACAAAGAATACAATATTTGATAATTGAAGTCTTGAAAGAAATCTGGGGGGAAAAGGCAATTTTTGGATAGAAATAAAGATTTCTCTTATTACGTTTCATCAGGTGAAGTCAGATGGTAGAGATGAAATGCATGACCAGATATATGCTCCTCTGGAACTCCCACCATCTCTATTTGTTGCTTTGGATCCCGGATCATTTGAATCTGATAAAAATGACAAAAAAAAATAAAAAAACCAAAGAAAGAAAAGATAAGAAAAACAACTTTCTGATAATATCAAGAGGAAACAATGAGGATTAACTACCCAACGATGGCACTATCAAGTTATGCCATCAAGTACATAACGTTTTGCATTTCCAGGCCCAGACTTCTTTTTCCACCATAGAGCAAGTGCAATTGGAGAATGGAGCTGACTGGACTTTTATGCAAATAAGAAATACTTCTTATTGGAGCTAGAAATACTAAGCTCAAAAGTAACGTCTTTAGATTCTTTTAGTAAAAGCTCAGTCTTCTTCCCCTTTACTACATTAATGCAACAGCCTTCTATACCATTCCCAAATGAGAAGATTTCAACCACAACTAAGCATGTGAAAATTATTTTATTTATTAAAAAATTAAAAATCATGACATCACTTGTAAGAAATAGACTTTCTCGCACTATTTCACAGTCTAATTTAAGTTAATTCCAATCAGTTCTGTATATATCTTGAGAACAAACTGATATAAGCAAACACTTCCACATAGGAAAAAATATATATATTACATATACATGAATGTAAGCATTAAGAAAAACATCAATTGTGATCGATAATGAATGTGTTTAATATCCCAACTCAAACCCAAAAGGCAATTTTAGCTGATTAGCAGATTATGACCCTAGTACTAGATATTGATACAGTAGCATTCAAGAGAAACATAGAAATATCCAACACCACAAGGAACCATAATTGTCCGTTAACCCACCTGATCCATGTCAAAGGAAACCCCCAATTTCTGAAAGCATGAAATGACAGCTTTGGCAGTTCCTGATGTGTCTACTTTGCTTGCTTGATGGGACTCCATCACCTAAAGTTACAAATCAATCAGCCGCACTTACTAATATCAAATGCAACCAATAGAACATAAAATTCTTCAAGTTCATGTCATTTTTGGAGCTCTGTGAAGGGTGTGGAATTTGAGTACTTTTAAGATTCAATAGAACATAAAATTCTTCGAGTTTATGTCGTTTTTGGAGCTCTCTGAAGGGTGTGGAATTTGAGTACTTTTAAGATTGCTGTTGTTTTCGGAGCCTTCAGTCAAACTCTACAATCTTTGTTTTTTATTTGTTAGGAGCTCTCTCTTCCTGATTTATTTATTTGCCTTTTCTTTTTTCATTGTCCTATTTTATTTTACTTTTCTACCTATTCCTATTTTCTTGCTATATCTAATGTAAAAAGCATCTTCAGTTGCAAGTTTTGCAAAGAAGCAACTATTGTTTTTGGGCAGAAGGTTTTCAAATGTTTTATTTTATACTTTCTTTCATTACCATCAGCTGCTCAATTACTGGTTCAGTGCTTACTCAAGGTACTTATAATGTTTCCGAATATATAAAATTGTCTGACCACCACCACCATTATAGACTATTGTTATTATCAGAATAAAATTATATAGATGAGTACCTGAAGCGAATACCCAGCAAAAGCACCAGGAAATTGCTCGGCCATAATCTCCATAGCTGCAAGAAACGCAACAACCTAACAGAAACAACAGACAATCAAGATACGTAAGGCCAGAGGCCAGAAGCCAATAATCGATACTACTAGAACGCATTAAGGTACTCATTTCTGATTACCTGATTTACCATGTATGGGGATATACCTGTTTTCCCATTTGTGGAGATATAACTGCATAGACCTCGGAGTCTTCAACAGTCTTATACAACAAGTCCCTGTCGCCACCAGTGGTTCCCATCACAAACGGCACCCCAACTCTACAATATAGCTCCGCATTATCTACACCATCAGAAAACAAAACCAAAGATCCTCAAAAGAAACTCACAGGCACAAAAAGAGCATTACACTAAAAGGGATGCCAAATTAAGTTTCTCCATGAAACAATCTAAAAATTTCAAATATAATTCTTTCAGAAAAAAGTCAGTAATTCTCAACATCAGAAGTACACTCGATCTCAGAATATTAATTCACACATTCTACTCTGTTTCCATTTTCACACAACATAATAGTTAATACAATTGAAAGGAATTCATCATTTCAAAAAAAAAAAAAAAAAAAAGAATTTCAAATGACAGCAATTTTCTTCATTTTAACTCAATCCTGTTGCCACAAATTAATTTCTCAATAAGTTCAGAAATCAATATCCCTATTCATCACTTCAAAAAAAAAAAAAAAAGAGAATTTCAAATGACAGCAATTTTCTTCATTTTAACTCAATCCTTTTGCCACAAATTAATTTCACAATAAGTTCAGAAATCAATATCCTTTTTTTCCTTATGAAAATATATATATTTTTTTCTGTGAAAATACCATTGACTGCAGCAGGCACAGTGTAATCCACCACAATCAAATTTGGATTTTCTTCGAAAAGAGACAAAAGAGCCCTCTCTCTTTCAGAAGGGCCCCGCACTGTAATTTGTTTTCCGCACACTTCCACGGTTGTCCCAGACTCTTCTTCAGAGCCAAATGACACGGGCACAATATTAAGTCCAGCAGAATCTGCTGCTTGAATGACGGCCTTCCCCATTTTTCCAGTACAACCATTTACCTGATTTCACATCATAACAACATACAGATTCATGGGGCTTTTCACTAACTCTTTGCCAAAGTACAACTTACAAAAGCAATAACCAAATACCAAAAAAAAAATAATAATAATAATAAGACAGTGATAGAGCAAACAACATTAGGAAGGACAAATATATATATATGTACACACACACACGCACACACACACACACATATATATATATATATGTATACAAATACACACACACACACACATACATATACTGATATACATATATTTTCAGGAACATTGCACCTAAGCCTTATATTTTACAAGTCATCTTAAAACTGTCCCCTAAGAGTTACAAATCACGTTAAAAACCTCCCTCTAGGAATGTAACAAATTGATAGGGGACAAATGCATCATTCTTGAAAACATAGGGTGGAAAACAACATTTCGAATGAAAACACAAGGGAAATTCAATTAATATTCTTATATTGTATGCGCACAAATATATGTATACACCATAGCAATTTTAGAAAACGTAGGTTTGAGAGGCAATACCATAATAGGGATGTTGGAGACAGACTTGCGAAGAGTCTGGATAGCTGGTGCAGAAATTGAACAATGCGGTATCATGGCTGATGAGGAAGTTCGACTCCTATTTGGCATGTTCATCCATCTGTTGGTTCCAGAGAATATTCTGACCGAGTTTGTTGGGACTTTCACTATGAATGACATTGAGAAATTAAAATTGCTTCTGGGGGTTTGAATACTGCAAATTCAGAATAAGAATTCAGTACTTATTAGACAGTGCCATGTTCTGAGTATACAAAAAAAAAAAAAAAAACTGTCTACTACATTACAATTACAATAGGAAAGACTCGATCTTTTTAGCCTTCTTCAGCCACTACAATCTAAAGCCTGTTTTAACAGTAAAAAAAAAAATTTAAAGTGTGATTAAAAAAAAGATTTAATTTGAACTCCATGGATGTTCTCAAGAAAACGAAATTGACGGCTCTTGAAAAGAAGATTTCGAAACATTTTTTATTTCGACATCATTTTTCTTGAAAAGGCTCTTGAAAAGTAGAGTTATAGACGGCGAAATGAAACAACAGTTTTTCTACTTCATAGTATCAAATGCAGAATCAAAAGTTACAAGACGACCATAGAGACCAGAGGAAGGCAATACCGCGGGGAAGGGGCGTCGCCGGAGGCGCGAACTCGTGGATGATGTGCCGGAGAAAGGGGGTTCACCGGTGCCTGAAGGACGGAAGTTCAGGGCGAAGGGCGGCAATGGGTTGGTCGCGGCTCGCTGGGAGGGCAGTACTTTGTCTGAAAGGGGCTATGGGACAAATGGCGGGTGATTTTTGATTATTAGGGTTTTAAGTTGGTAAAGAAACGCTTTTCCACTGTTAAACTTATCCTTCGTAATATATTCCCCAAATAATAATATATATAGGAAATTAGGCTATTTTGTGCGTGTTTAAAACTGTTTTTAAAAAAGATTTTTTTACGTATATTGATAAATAAAAAATAAAAATAAAAATAAAAATAAAATGACGTTTATTTAATAAATATTTTAAAAATAAAAATTATGATAATAATTTTTGTGAAAAAATTAAAAAATAATTGAAAGTTATTTTCACTTTTTTATTTTTATTTTTAATACTTATTAATAATATTATAATATATTAATTAATAAACACTATTTCACTTTTTTATTATACTCAAAACAATCTCTTAAAAAATCAACCATACCCAATTTCAGAATTGATCCTAAAATAATTCTCAAAACAATCTCATTTTTACTTTTTATTGAAAACAAAATCATTTTAAAACCAATTTCAAACTCACTGTTTATGCCTGAACTTTTTGAATTTGGCAATTTAGTTCTTAATTTTTTTTTTCCGGAAATCAACACTCCAAACTTTAGTTTTTCACACTTTCATCCCTTGTTGCTCAAATTTATTAAAATTTTCACAGGTTTTAGCACATAACTTGCAAATGATAGCCTAATAAGGGCATTGATGTTCATTTTTGTTTACTTTCAATACAATTACATTTAAAAACTTGAAACTTAAATTAATTATAACTTAAACTTTAATCTAAATTTTAAGATGAAGTTTTATTAATACCAAACAAAAATATCATCAATGTGCTTCCTAGGTTGTCACTTATAAGTTTGGCAAAAAAAAAAAAAAACCATTAAAATTTTAACGAATTTGAGCAACAAGAACTAAAAATGTCAAAAATTAAAAGTTCTAGGGGTTGATTGTCAGGAAAAAAGTTTAGAAAAATTCAAGGGTGTTCATACAAAATAGCCAGGAAATTATTATTAGGGATTGAGATGTCATTAACTTAAGCATTGATTAGGATAAATGTGGCCCGTCAATAATCTCGTGGGAATGGGGATTGGCCCCAAACCGAACGGGAATAGGAGATAATAATTAAGGATGGAGACAAAATCTTGTCTTTGAATTATGGCGAGGCGAGGAAGGAAAAAGCACTCCCCACCCCGCCTTCATTCCGATATACATATATTACAAATTTTATATAAATAAATATATGCAATATTAATTCAAAGAAATTTGGTGTTTATGTGGCATTATTACTAAGTTTGATTTGCATATGGTTTGTTCTATAGAATCTAATGTGATTTTGATTTAAAATTATCCTTTATTTTTGTTTAAATTATTATAATTTTAAAATGTATAATTATATTACATGAAGAATGAGACAGGTATGATAAATTTCTCTCCAATGAAGAATTCCCGACCTCATCCCGTCTCTTCTTAAACGGGGATGGAAATAGGAATTGCTTTGGGGGCGGTGGGAATAGGGATGGAACCGCCTGCCCTACTCAACCAAAACATTTACATATATTTATTTGTTTTTGTAATGTCTCATTAAATCTCGTTCAAATGATCAACAATAACCAGATAAGTTGTGACACCGAACTAAAATTTTCAGTTGTAAATAACCATTAGAACCATTTTATTAACAGGAACGTGATATTTTCTATATAAATATGAGGACATGCCACAAAACATGATACACTAAAATAAATTAGTTATTAATTTCAAAAAAATAGTTATTTTCTATTAATTTAATTATGTAACTTGTAAAACATACTTGGTTCAATCTTCAATGAGTATTGAGATGGAGATGTTTTATATTGAGAAGTGGTTGAATCTTCTAAAAAATACACCACTTTTTAAATAACTAGTTAACTTATAGCACGTAGAAATTACTTTTATAGGAGTAAAGCGAGCAAAAATTATTTTTAAAAATTTCACGTAAAATTGAACTATGAAAAATTTCACAAAATAAGAAAAAATAAAAAGTAAAAAATTTAAAAGACAAAAAGAATAAAGATAAAAAAGTAAAGAAGTGAAAAAAGAAGAAAAGGAAAAAATAATATGAGAAGAGGCTGCCACGTGACAGTCTAAAAAAAATATTATTACAAGAGTTTTTGACTTTTTTATGTATAAGTTTACAACATTGATAAAAATGGATGTTAGTTAGCTTAATTGTTGTTGGTTAACTTGGTTGTCCTAAAATGCATACAATAATTAACATGTTCGAAAATCTCTCATATATTTTTTTAAATATAAAATTATTTTTTATTTTAAAGGTCGATTTATTTTTAATTATTAATTTGAGTTTGATTAGATGATGAATCCTTAAGTTAAAACTAGTTGTAACACACGCGTCAACACGCTTGCGTATTCTGCGTGTCATATTTTTTTGGATACTTACATTTAAAATTCATTCAAAATTTTAGTTTGCTTGTTTTTTTACTCATCATTTTCATAAAAATTTAGTTTAATAACAATAAAATATTTTAGTAGAGCCCTTTTAGAAGGAAAAAAATTTTCTAATGAGTAATTAGATAGTACAAAGTACATATTAAAAAAAATTATTTGAAAGTATTACGAGAAATATATTTAGATAAAAACACATTTTGAGAATAAATTATTTCAGCATGACAATTACAGAAAGAAATACTTGTGAGATCCATATTTGAAAAATAATATTAGCTACAAACAAAGAAAAGTGTTTAGACTGTCATATATTAAGGGGAAAAGATCTAATAAAGCACATTTTAAAAAAATGCACACAAGATTTAAAAGTAAATAAATAAAAAAAGGGTCGAAATACACGTTTCAATCAAAACACGTGTTAGTAAAATGTCTGTGTGCACGCAAGCGCTAAAGTGAAAAAGTACTTTAGCAGGAAATTATTTCATCACAGGTAAATTATAGTACGGTCTCGTTCACTTCGCTGATTTGAGTTGAGATATAATTTTATGTGAGAGTTTTTTACTGTAATAAAAAAGTTAGATGTGATTGTTTGTGAGAGCTTTTTACTGTAGAAAAACTCGAATTCTAAACTCAAATTAGCGAAGTGAACGGGGCCTAAATTTATAAGACAAACACTAGTATGTGCCACTAGAGGTGTAAGAATTGAGCCCGAACCCGAGAAACCCGTCCAACCCGACCCGAAATCTAAGAAATTTTTTTTATTTAAAAAATTCGGATTAAATTAGTCCCAACCCACACTGTGCGGGTTGGGGGCGAGGCACTCTTTTTTGTACCCGAGTACACCGACCCAAGCCGTTGTGTAAGTGTGTGTAAGTGTAATGTAACTAGTGCTGGAACTTCGGGTCGGCGGGCCGCCCGAAGCCCGAATTTTTTCAGGCTCGGGCGGGCCGGCCCAATTCCCGCCCGCCCAAGCAAGAAATTCGGGTTCGGGCTCGGGCAGCCCGAATTTGACATGTCCCCCCTTCCCCGCCGCTGTCTAACCACCGTATACCGCTGTCCGCCGAGATTTTTTTGAATTTTTCCGACCAAGCCCGAACTGCCCGACCCGAAAATTGCCCGAAAATTGAGTGTGCCCGAATTGGCCGACCCGAAGCCCGAATTTTTAAATTTTGCCCGAATTTTTCCCGCCTGCCCGACCCGCCCGAGGTGCCCGAATACCCAAAAATGGCTAGTTTTTTGAATTTTGCCCGAATTCTGCCCGAAAACCCGAGTTGCCCGAAAATCCAAAAACGGCTATTTTTTGAATTTTTACCCGAATTCTGCCCGAAAATATGAGTTCGTGTGTTCATTTCAAATTGTAATATATATATAAATATAATATATATATATATATAAATTGTAATACTAATATATATAAATAACTTAATATTAAAAAAAAAGTTTAAAAAATTCGGGCGGGCTCGGGCCGCCGAATACAAGCCCGCGGCCCGTTCAAGGTGAAATTCGGGCTCGGGTGAGCGGCCTAAAAATCTCAGGCAGGTCGGGTTCGGGCTCGGGCAAATCCTCGGGCTTTTCGGGCGGTCGCGGGCGGCCCGTCCAAAGTTCCAGCACTAAATGTAACCCACTAACCCTAATTCCTTAGTCCCTCTCAGTCTCACTCTCAGTCTCTCGCCTCCCTCCAGTCCTCACTCCTTAGTCTCTCGCCTCACGTGAGTCACGCCTCGCCTCCTCCTTCGCATTCTCCGTTCCACTTCACCCTAAAAGCCTAATCCACACGCCTCATTTCTGATTTTGATCCACTTCACGCTCTAAATCCCTAATCCTCACACTCGTCGTCGTTTCTCATTTTCCGTTCCTCTTCTTCTTCTCAGTCTGTCACCGTTCCTTGCAGTTCATCACACTCGGGATTCCTCACCGTTCATCGTAAGTTCATCTTCTTCTTCCCGTTTTTATTTTTTTTTATTTTTTTATTTCTCTCTGAATCAGAGCAAACCAAACAGAAATGGTTTTGTGAAATTTGAATCTTTTTGTTGAAATTTATTACTTTGTGAATTCGGGTTGTTTGTTTGTTTCATTAATTTGAAATTTTTTTTTTATTCGATTGGCTGATTTGGGAGGAAGGTAGGACATTTCCTGCTTGATTTGGGAGGGGATATTACATATGTACTCTACATCTTGTTTTTTTCTTGCTGATTTAGTTGTTTGTTTGAGCTTTAAGCATTGCCCTTTTGTTTTAAATTATGGATTTGGACTTGTATAAGAAGTGGGGTAGGATTGATTTTCCGGTTGGAAGACATTAGTTGGTGTGAGATTTATATAAGTGCTTTTTGTTTATCGAAAAGTGAAACATGAAGAAATCCACGTGAATAATTGATTGTTGTTGGTTTCAATCCATTTCAATTGTTGTTGGTTTATTTGAGAACCTGTGGTTGTTTGCAATTCTGCATATTTCTGCTCCTCCTGCTCGTGTTTTGTAACAATAACAGTTAGGATCACGATTTTTTTTATGTTTATTCCTTTTAGTTTTATGTTTTGTATTCTCTAGGTTAGAAAGGTTCATATGCTCGATGGTGTAACTGTTATACGGTCGGAGAACGTTAAGGATGAGCTCATTTTGGATGGAAATGACAT